AAGAATGCTCCTAGTTTGTTTAACACATTTATGTCATTCACCACTTGCTACAACTGTCATGACCTCTGAAAATCAGAGTAGAACTCCCATAGAAGCGATACCTTTTAAGCAAGTCACTTCAAATGATTATTTTAATTTTTTTAAATAATTTTCCTCTTTTTTCGATTGACAGTAAAAATAAATAATACTATGGGTAGTAATTTGCTTTCTTTACCTTTTCAATCCTTCGCCGTCCCACAGACCATTCACACTTACCAGACCTTTCAAGAGTCCTTTCGTAATGGCATTGTTACGGAAAGTGGACTCTCCGACCAATGTCTTGGGCTTTCTCCTTACCTTAGCAGAAGAAAATTGACATCTCGATGCCGAAATTCATTCAACATCGCTCCAAACTGAGCAACAACAACAGGTACAGATACAATTGAACTGACCAATGAAAACCAAAGGCTCTTCTCAGAGTCAACAAAAACAGTAGTAAAACAGAAATGTCCACTCATTCATATGTCAGACGATGATTACTGCACCTATATGACAATGCAACTTATCATTTCGACAATTGAAATGCACCGCTATTCATCGAGGAAATAAGCTGTCACCTTATCATTATTATTTTATCATCATTACTACTACTGTCAACTATTTTGCTACACATACTATCACACACTGTGCTCATTACATTATACGTCATGTGTTTATTATAGCATACTTTTTTACGTTTATTCCTAAGTGACCCCTAATGGATTTCTTCTTTACACCATTCTATCAAGGAGAAGCGAAATATCGGAAAAAAAAAGGTAGATGAGGGGAAACCAGTTAGGCGAAATGGATTTCCAAACACTTTGTACCATTATCAAAGATATTTTACATCTAATAACAGAGCATTTGGTAAACAGTTTTATTGACGAAGAACAGTTTTAGAGAAAGGAATTAATCATAAACTCTTGAACAAAAACTCTAGAATTTTAACGAATTTTTTTGTTCTGTGGAAATAAGGTCAAGCGTGTTTCATAACTACGGGATATTTTCACAACTCATTTTGGAACATTTATACCACTGATATGATATGAATGCCATATGTTGAATGAATTTACTTCTGTGGTCTTATCATTAGTAATGATAAGTCAGCCATTAATGCAATACAGTTTTACGCTGTATATTTACCTTTTATCAAAGTTCAAACTGACATTGAATCAAGTATCGCCGTTATCCAATTACTATTAATCAAAGCTTTATTACGTGATATGTAAGTTAATTCTACGCGACGACTTAAATTAAAGAAATATTTTCGATAAGCATGTTTCCCTAAGGTTATGATTTTGTGATTATACCAATGTCTTCCTTTTTTTTTTCCTGAAAAATTAGGGGAAGTAGTTTAGTGGATGGCTCCATTTTCACACTGAAACATTAATGTCCTCGCAGACAAATTCAATTTAAAAGAAAATTGTTGCACTTAGGTATTTGTTTCTTCTCACAAACTGTTACAATTTTAATCAATGAAATGGTATTTCAAGGGTTCACTGCATTTTACCATTACCATTACTCAACTTCTATCATTGAACAACCTGAAGATCATCCTTCGTTTTTGATAAAAAAGAAAATTTTCCAAAGAAGTACACTTAGTTTTTCACTTCATCATTTCAGTTGTGTATAAAACTGAACTGTGTAATTGCTTTAAGAGTTATTAACCTTCAATTTCGATTTGAGTTATTACTCTATTTAATGTTTCCCTCCATTTCATTATTACAACGATGAAGATATCAATCGCCGAAGTAGCGTGTGTCTTCCGAAGAGATTATTTCAAAAGTAATTCTAATGTCTGTTGGATGAGAGTGTTTTTCCCCCTCTGCATTTACTTACTAACGACATTAGTAATGTCGAAATGAGTTTCATGTTCGTCCATTTATGTCTTTTCCTTTCTGCTCTTATGATATGTTATGGGAAAATATCTTACTTTTCACCAAGGTTATAATTTTTTGACTGCTGTGTGAACATTTGTCGATCGCATTTGATTGATATGATATGCTGAAGTATGTAGTAGCTTTTCGTCGCAGATCTGATTCACGTAAGTTACACTTTTAGTACACTATTAAATATCTCATATTAAGATTGAAAGTAATCTATTGTTATCAAGAGGCCAATATTAATTTTCTAACTTCACTTAATTTAAAAAGAATATTCAACAAATGTAATGATTTTTGAGCCACTCTCTTTCATCTCAATACTTTAACATTAGATATGAGTTGTGAACATGTAATAAGTGATCAAATGGTAAAATAACTGATTTTACAACTGAAAGAAAAACAGAAAAAGCAAGAAAAATGCTAATAAATATTGGTCATTTTCTTTTAACTTTTTTTGTATCCCTTGGTTCTTATTAGTTCATATTTTTCCATAATATATTTCATATAGCCTTTGAATATTGTTTTTCAGAACAAGTGACGGACTGTCGTTTTCCGGTATGTGAAATATCACAACAGAATCGTTCCGATGACTTTGATGGTGACAAGAGGTTCTTTTTATCCGTTAAATCAATCATTCTAAACTTTACTTGCTTATTCAGCGGAAGTATTATATTTCAGTTGATATTCTCATCTTGTTTAAATTATTGTTTCAAAAAAAAGTTTCTATTCTTCGTAATTATGTTTTTATAAAAAATTCACTTGTAGGATGATCCGTGTCTAAATTATGTGATCTTTTCGAAATTTAAAACAAATTCTGAAAACAGAAGTAATTTTATCGTTTTTTTTTCAAGTTGTAAAATGCCTAAATTTGCTGTGCACGTTTTTCTGTTGAATTTGAAGTTGTATGGAATGAAAAAATTTATAGCATCATATTCTGTTCTATCTCGTACACTTCCACCACGTGTCAAATAATACTTCATTTAAGATCTGCTAAAAGTTTACTTTTTTGCTTTCTTTCCCAAGAAATAACAAATGTTGTTGCCTTGAAAATTTTTATTTCATCTTCTAGGTAAAAACAAAAATGGAAAATTAAATGCATTCGTAAAAAAGTTGCTGTGTAATTTAGTTTTGTATTGCATTTTATCTCTTTGAAATTATACAAGAAATCCTCCCAAAAATCTACATTACCTAAAAGTTGTGCACTCTTAAGTATGTTAAAATTTGTCAAAGCTTATACAGTTTACTGTTAATTGCCAAACTACTAAGTGGTTATATCGAACTGCTAACTGGCAGGGCTCTGATCCTTTTTTACTTAAGAAGTCTAATTACCGAATTGCTTACCTATGAAGTGATTGGGAGAAAGTTAATAGTTATATAAATCTGAATTATACAATTATAAATAATGCAAGAAAGTAGAGTTGCTTGTGTTATGTCAATTTTTCCAGTGATCGAACACTTGGCATGACAGTGGACCTAAAGAAGAGTGAAAGTTGTGATGATTTCGGATATAGTGGGTTACATTCTCAATTATCCGGGAATGGTAATAATAACAGTAAATTAATTGGATTTGGTGAAATAATGGAAACCAATAAGGAATTTGATCCCATTCTTGCAATCACTCATGCATATCCTGTTGATAACATCACCGATAATGATGCTGACGATGACGATGATAGCGGGATGCATCGCAGTGGTAAGTTTCAATCTTTTAGCATCTTTGTTACTTACTACCAATAACATATCAGTCTGCTTACTTTACAGAATAACTAATTGTCAGTGAATGTGGAGAAACGAACTAATGACATCTATGTATCTTAAAAGAAGTCACTGGTTTGACTAGTATTACATCTGTCGGTGAGAGATAATAACGAATTTTTCTACAAGCTTATTCGAATTTCTGCTCTTTATCTAAAAGAATTCAATATTTTAGGAGCCTTTATATGCCGAATAAAGGCGTTTGTTTTGGTGAGGAAGTCTGTCTTGCTATCCGAAGAAACAAATTTTCCTAATTATATTCCCTTTCTCCACTCATACAGTAACAATGATTATGGCTGTAGTACTATAGCAAAATTAAAAATGGTTGTACTATAACTGACTGCTGGCTTCTGTTTCAAGTTGTTTGCATTTCATTTAATTATCCTGCTTGCTTCTTTCTATCAGTAGTGTGGCTTACCGTTTATTTCTTTTACTGTTCTTTTATCTATGTTTATGAAATTTTGATCCAACGGTTTCATTACTGTAATTTCATTTTTATTTATTGAGGTTGATAACGTGTAGATTTGAAATCTGTTTTCACTTTTCCTTTTTGATTTTATTTGAGAGTTTCTTTGAAAATTATGTTAGAATTTCAACCAGTTTCCTTATCGCTATAATACAGTCTTAGTTTTTCGATAAAAATAAGTATCTCTCTTCATTAGACGTAAGCGTAAACGATTCATGCTGGTCGAGAGTGACCGCATGTTATTAGAAAAGATCAATATTTTTGTAATTATTTCACAAAGATTATTGTCGAATCTTTGAACAATAAAAATGAACACACTGTTTATCTGTGGTCATTTCCATTAAATGATAGGTAGTCGTCTTGAGAGTTCCTATGACGAAATACCAAGGTCAGCAATTCAAATTTTAGATAAAGGCAACAATATTTGATAAAAATTCTTGGAGGTTTGATCCTAAAAGTTTTTTCGGGTGATAATATGAATAGTATTGCAACTGACCATTGCAATTTCGTTTTTCCCACCTAGAAACAGTCAGTTGGCAATATTAGACGAGTAGTTTAAAACCAGGGGGTTTGTTGAGGTTTATGGACGGAAGGATGAAAGCAGAAACTAATTGATAACTTTTCTCGTCGAGATTGGACTATTGAATTTTTTGGAAAGTCATTGTCTCTAAATCATCCTTTAGTCTCACATTCTATTCATCAGATACCACTGTACTGCATTTCGTTACGCACATATCAGCTAGTTATTCTTCTGTGAGATGTGAGCCATAAATTACTGCTGATTTTTATCGATTTTATTTTTAATCTCCACTTTGATCTTTTTCATATACTCAAGTATCTCTCTTACTTTTTCATTTATTTATTCACTAAATTCTCCCCACCGTTCATCTAATTAAATTTTAAAGTTCAATACAGAAACCGCAAGGTAATTAAATATCTTTATGGGGATAATCTTTCTTTCTCGTTAGATAATTATTAAATTATAGCTGTTTGGTTCTACAAATTGTATTATTTAGATGAATCTCGCTTTGGTATGATGAGACGTTTTGGTGGTGTTGTTAAGTCAATTGGAGCAGTCCGAAAGCAATGGCATCGTCCCGTCGCTGAGGTAATTATTATTTTCATTTTCACTCTTTTCTGGATAATAACACTTTTATTTGTCAATGTTTCTCACATGTTTTGCAATTTGTAAGAATTGCTCAAAAATGCTCCGAAATTTTTTTAGATCTCAATCGATTTTCACAAAAAGCCCAAAGTTTCATGACAAATGATTTTGTTGGCTGGTACTTCATGCCAAATAAGACCAGTGTTGATATTTTTATGAAGTTCAGGTTTTTCCAAATAATACTCACACTGATAGTAGCAATAAAGACGGTGGCTTATGGTCAAAAGCTTCATTTGGACTCACAAAGCATATTTCGAATAATTTGTCCTTTACAGACGAACACTCTCCAACATCGCCTCCATCATTCTGTGAGTACTGTTTTATAACTTTTTCTTTCTTCAAAATTTTGCTCATCTTACTTTTTTTTGCTTGGCAGAGCATAGCCATTAATCATGATTTCGCGAATTTTGTCAATTTTCGGCACTTTGTCAGCTCAAAAAATTTATTACGCATAGACATAAACATTCACAGGCTAAAAATTGATAGAATGAAATCACTTTTAAATTGGATAGCGACAACTGCTACATTTAAAAGATTAATCAGGAAGAGAGAGAGAGAGAGAACTTCGAGACATTCAAATTCAAACTTTCTGTGCCTTTCAAACGAGCATCCATAAAAACTATTTCCAATTCATATGGCTAGTAAATTTGAATAATAGATTGCCCAAGAAAGGTAATAAATGATCGAAATACAAAAGTGATGCAAAGCTAAATGAAATTTTGTTCATATTTCATCAAATTAGAAGTATTAGAAAAATCCTTAATTTCTGATAAATTTCTCATTATTAACCCGTAAAAGATAATAAAGTATTTAAATATCTATTTCTTTTTTATTATTTGCGTATTACTCTGATCACTTTGTCAATTTTTCAGTTGGGTTAATTTGATTTTGGAATTTCGGATTTCTTCATAAAATTAATTAAGGGAGAAGTGTAGTGTATTCCAGTCCTGATTCAACAAGAGACTATCTTTATCCATAAATCCCTTATTCATTATCATTGTACTAAGGATTCATGATTTACAGCACATTTACTGATTGCCACAGATTCAACATATCGTATCGGTACGTCAAAATCAAACCCGTTATCCAGTGGCGATCGGCAACAACAGTACTTCTTATGAATTTGAAATTGTCCAAGTGCACTGATTTAATGTATACTTGAATAAGCTTTGGATTTTAATGCTAATTCAAGTTTTTTTTCTCATTGAAATAAATACCGATATCTTACATTATAATATGAAAACATAAACGACCACTTACGTGAAATTATGATATGGCAGGAGAAAAATGTAGCAATGCCAGAACAAGCTTATTCTAATTTGTAATTATTTAAGATCAACGTTACGAAAAAGCTGTCCAGATTTGAGGATATCTAGCGGTGGAGGTACGTTGCTGGAAAATATGGAAATCTGTCGAACACAAAATCGTAATCGCCGAGCTCATGAAAAGAAGCAGGCAGCATTGTGGAAGAAGAAACCTATAGCTGTAAACTTTTGAAAACATCTCGAATCATTGTTTGATTGTATTTCGTGAAGCCAAGTAATTATAAGGCCAAAGAAAGCAACAATTTTCTTTGCTTCATTATCGGATAATATAATGCAAAAGTTATTGCGACTGTTTCTGCACATAAATAGTGATGCGAATGTGACACCGTAAGCGATGTCGCTCTTATTTTAGGTTGGTTTATATGCGGATGATGAGTAAACATAAAGATAAGGATAGGTGAACCATTACAAGATCTGTTAAGCCTATTTTCAGGGATAACAACGGTAGAGAGTTAATTAAAGTCCAGTTAATTAAAGTTTATATATGCATTCTCCATAGGAATGGAGCCTAGACGATGTTCTGCTGTGGTTGCAGCATTGTAAATTGGATGATGTGGCATCAGTAATGATCGGTTATGATATCAGTGGAGCGGATGTGGAACGATGGGATAACAATACCCTTGGTATACTCTGCCATAACTTTTCTCATTTTGTTCAGCTCTGGAAGCTCATCGCTATCCATTGTTATACTTTTTTTAGACTTTTATTTAGTGATAGTAATAAAAAAAATAGATCAAGTACATATTTTTTCAATGGCTTGTATAAATTATTTCATGATTCGACGATGGTTACGCTCTTCCTTTACATTGTCTGAAAATGTTATAAGAAATGCGCTGTTGAGAGGATTGTTACCTCCGAGTTCACAAATGTTATTTATTATAGAGCAACTTGGTGTATCAGCAGAGCAGACGCGGACCAAAATACTGAACGAGCTACGATCACTGAAAGTACGACAAACAAATCCACCAGCTGAAGTAAACGAAACTGGTACCAGGTCTAAGGTACCATTCAGTTCCATGTAATCAAATTCCCTTCCGGTTTAACGAAATGCCACATCATTCTATAGCCACATCATCCTATTAAGCATCCAAATTTGCAATGTTCTCGTATGAACTTCTCGGTTGAGATTACTCTTTTTTACAGAAAGGCAAGCCTGTGATACCGCTATTCAAATTGGTGCGATCAACCAGCTACGACAAAGTGGTTGCACTGGAGACATCACTAACAACTCGGGATATTACTGTGGCTGAGGGAAGGTTTGGTTGTCTGCAAGTCACAAAGGTCAATGGTGCTAACATTCCGCTGAGGGAGCAAGATTGGTGCGTTGCAATATTTTTTTCTCGTGAACTTTTCCATTTTTATACATTATCAACAGCGGGTAGAAGCAAAATTTTCAGCTTTCTGGAAATTAATGAAATGCCTGGGCAAGCATTCCGTTCACCACTGATGTTCACCAAATTAGTTACTGAGGCAGCTGGTGAACCGATCAGGTTGGTTGTTCTGAGACGGCGCTTGCTGCCTACCAGTGATACAGTCGGCAACTACGATTGCGATAATGATATCTCCGGTCGTGGTATATTCCTTGGAAAAAAGCTTCTGGCTGCTGATCAGGTTAATCTTCTTTAATGCTGATTTGAATATGAGAAATTCAATCATCAAAGATAAGAAATCCATCATCAAAGACGCATTGAAATCAGTCCGTGACACATAAAGCATTCCAATCGAATTAAACGGGCAAGATTTTAAAGTTCCGAAGTTCTTTCTCAAAAACCCGAAATTATATTTTTCTTTTTTTTTTTTTTGTTTTCGATTAACAATTATAATTTTCGAATAAATAGATTTTTAGTTGGGTTAGCGTAAGCGCTTCATTTTCATAATTTTTCAGGAATCTTCGGCAAGCAGTGGGGTGTCATCAAGTGAATTGTCTTCAGACGCAGGACCGCTTAACGATGACAGCAAATCTCAAGTTCTTAGGTTATGATTCATCAATTAAAAGAACCATGTGCACGATATATGTGCATAATTTAATCATTTTCATTTGATTTGCTGCCAATGTCATAACTAATTTGCAATGTTTTGGATTTTGAAGAATTTCAGAATTCCAATCCTTCAAGTTTCTCAAAACGTATTCTAATCCTGTTGGATTTCATTCGAATAAAAACTAGCATTCGAATTCATAAAATATATTTTGTTTTACAGGTATAAATATCCCAGCCCAAGTATAATATCCATATTGTAATTATGTTAAAAAGTAGTATTTGAATTGCCCAAATGTTGATGAACGAAGAAAATTGGGGATTTCTAGATGAGACTATTTTTCTATTCTGTTAATCAGAAATTTAATTTATTTGTAGATCCACTCAAGTTGTCTGTAATTTTCTGTTTATTTTGTTGCCGAATGTATAAAATGATGTTTTCAAGTCGTTAGTTAAATATTTCTCACCGAATTTTATTTGTTTGTAGGTTAATTTAGTTCAATACTTTATATGCTGTATACATTGTTGTTCTGGTTGTCCTGAACAAGAGTGAATTCAAATTTATGTATAGTCAGGGCTTCAAATAAGATATACTTTACCTTTTATTTTAAGTAAAGGATTTGGTTTTTTTCTTAAAATTAGTATTTATAAACGCAGGAAAAAGTTCTCTATAATAATTGAAAAATAAAATTGTTCCGCTGAATAGAACGGCATCAGCAATTTTAAGGTACTTTTGGGCTTTAAATTAGCAGAACAAACTTGAACAAAATTGTTCATTTAAAGTGTTGTTGCACACGCTTGTCAAATTCCCAGGTTCTCAATTTTTCCGATTTCCTAAATGCTATCAAAAAAGACGTCGGAGCATTTCTTCAGTACGTGTGTACTAAACGTAACTCATGAAAAAGTAACGAAAGAGTGGAACAATTGGAGTAATCGAGCCGTATGTCACAACAGCTTCTGGTTGTTTAAAACGTAAAAAAATATTGTAAATTTGGGACTGTCTTTTCCAGAACACTCTTCAGGAATCTTCGAAGTAAGTAGAAGTAATCTTTAGTGTAGGAGTCATTCCTTTTTGTCGTAGCCTGTAAATCCAACGCTACCACATCTAAAGTTTCCACAGTGATTTGGTGTAAACATTCGGCAAAGTTTTTCACGAAGACATTTTCGGCAACTCTTTTCTTCTTTGAGAATGATTAACTCACAAAATTTTGGGATGAAAACATTTTCGAACCATTCTCAAGAACAACTTCCAATTTCCGGCAGGAACTTTTCTCTTTGGTTTTGGTTGACGAACTTTTTTGTTTCGATTCAAATCATACAATTTGATGTGTTCATCTGAAACAATTTTCCTTTTTTATACTAACATGGGTTTTATCATCACTCTCAAATTGAACTGAAAAGTAGTATTTGAAATAAATTAGTCTCTTTAAGGGACTAAAATGTAATAGCCATCTATATATTAACATATATAGATTAACTGTGTATTTTTAATAAGTTTTCTTCTCTTTTTGCTAGAAATAGGAAATAAAACAACAAGGCTTGCATATTCGCGTGGAATGAACCAGACAGGCAACTCGTTACACAAGTCTTTGTGATTTCCAGTAATTTCAGTTAATAACCCACTCCCTTTTCTTCTCTAAATATTTTTACCACTTACTTGTGTAAGTGATAGAACGTAAATGCTAAATATTTCTACTACTTACATATCCCTACCACTTTCCGTATTGTTTTTTTCCATGTTATACTTATACTTTCCATATTGTACTTATAACCCGTAATAGATTGACAATGTAAATTTTTTGCGCCGTTTCATTAAAATCAAGGTTTCAGAGCTGATATATTACATTTTATCCTCGATTCGAGAACAAAAAGAGTATTATGAATTTTTGCAGAAAAGAAATTCAAAAAAAAAAAGAAACTAAACAGGTTGAGATGAATAATAAATGTCAAAAAAAAACCACTATTTAGATCGTATCTGTCAAATTTAATTTGAGCGCTCAATGGATTCAAGTGATCAATTTTATTGCCTTATCAAAAGAAATAATAATTAGAAGTGCTCCTCCTGTGACATTTTGTTTCTATAATTAAGCGAATTTGAGAAAAAAAACGTAATTAGACAATTAAAACGTATAAACATAAGATTGGTTTGTAAAAAATAATATCAGACAGATGAAAAAACTTCTCTGGCAAATGTAAAACCTTTTGTTTTAGCTTCCTTTTATTTCTATATCTACAATCACTTCTTTTAACTTCCTTTATTGATTCTTTTCGCAATCATTACGAACGATTCTTTATTTAACTAATTACTACTTGCGCACATAATGTCTCAGACACACTGAGAGGACGGAATAAAAGATTATGACCAATTTTTTCAACTTCCAGCCCTGTCCTTCGATCTGACTTCTAAGTTGGTTGTGACATTTCAAGTAAAAATAGAATGAATCAACTCTCATACATTCTTTTCTAATGGTGCAGTAAAATGATGTTTTTAAAATATTTAAAAAATCATTTCTGAGACATTTGGCAGGTGGAATAGTAAAAACTATTTGCGTATCACAACAGTAATTAAAATTTTATTTTTATGGAAGAGAGAGTTCCTACGATCTGAGTGTTGTAAATGAATCAATACATCTTATTTAATTAATAAAGGAATAAATGTTTTGATGAACGGTTACGCAAGAAGAGTAAAATGATTTGTGAAGAAACAAAGGACAATGACCAGGAGTTAAAGGAACAGTTTTAGAGGGAGGGAAATGGAGCTCTTTTCTTAAATAAATGAGTGACTGTTGGAAGTGTCGCACCTGAGTGATTGCTGAAACAAAGTTCTCTTGAAATTTGCATAATAGTTAACACAATGCAACGTCAGGACGATTATAGCAATCGTTAAATTCTAGCTGTAAATTTGTTCAGTGATGTAACCATAAAACCCGCTTGTGCATCATTGGATGCAGATTTCGCAGAATTTATGAAACGGCCATTTTTCTGATTTCCAAAAACCTGCAAAACTCGGCTGTTCAAAATGTCGAGAAATTTAGTGGCGAGAGAGAGTGAACACAGCCGCCAATATGATCGAAGTCGAGCGGGCACTTCTTCCGGAATGGTATGACCTTCATTGAGTTGTTGATAATAAATAGATCGATATGACATACATTTAAAAGATAATCAAAATTCAGAAGCACTTCCACAGTCTAAAAAATTCGGATTTTGACAACTGCTTTCAGTGCAACGATGATGTGATAAATCTTTTCATTTATTAGAAGTTGTTGAAATTCGTCTTCAAATGATGGGGAATAATAACTAAATGACCTGGACAGGGTCACTGGATTTTTTTTCTTCATTTTCTTGAATAAATAAGGCAAATATGTAATAGCTCAAATGTCGTATGTTTGTCGTATGTCATGTCGTATGTTTGTTCAATACAATGCACTATCGCTTGGGATGGTGTAATTGTGGGACCTCGTTGATTTGAAGTAACCAGGTTTCCTAACACTTCATCTTGATTAACACGTAATTCAAATGGTTAAATCGCCACCAAGTTAGAGAAGAGGACACAAGGAGATTATGGTTTGAGTTGGAAGATACTTCTGGAACGGGTTGGTTTTGGGGAGTGCTTATTCTGTAAAAGGATCCGAGATGTCTTTATCTGTAGACCCTCAACTGCAGATCGAGCACATTGTAAGTTTTGCTCTCATTTACATCGAAAATTTCACATCAATCTTTAAGTTTTTATTCTGATGGTCTAAAGTAATTTAAACTTAGAAAATGATATTTTAGAAGTTCATTGATTAGTTTGTCAGTTCTCGGAGTAGATTTTTTAAATGATTTAAAGTTTCCATAGTTCAAGCAACTTTATCAGGGTAATGCTTTATTGATTGATTCAATTTTGAAATGAAATAAGACTGTCGTGAAGACTGCATTGATGGTATTTGTAGATGGTATCGAATGTAACCGCAACGGGAAACGATGTGATTGCTTCACCGAATGATGGTGCAGGTGTTGATTATGAAGAAACTTATCTTTTTGCGGAACGAACGAGGAACAGCAATAGCCTAAGTCCTGAACAAGCATTCGCTCATATGGTTAAGGCCATGTTGGGCACTGGACTGCTCTCATTACCTCTTGCTTTTAAGCATGCTGGACTATGGGTGAGTTGCTGGTCTTTGATCTTTCCCATTATCATTTTTGTTTTCATCCTTTTCCTTATTTCGCAACTATTTTCTTTATCGGTAAGGCAAGACAAAGAGAAAGAGGGAAAGGATGAATATAATCGTTTTGTTACGATTTTTCACGTAAGCTTGCCTTAGTGCCTGAAAGTATAGTTATCTATGGTCTTCTTTCATCCTGTTCGGCCTTCTCCGCTATGTTTAATTGTATTATTTAAGTTGGGTTTGGTGCTAATGATTATACTATGTGGCATATGCTTATACTGCATGAGACTGGTAGTTTATGCTGCACATTACATCTGTCGAAGGTTGATTTAACTTCTTTTACTTTCATATTATCGCAAGAAGTTCTGCAAAATCAATTTTCAAATTAATTTATTAAAAATACTTCAAAGAGGTTTTTTTTTGTATTTTAAAAATGTGCAGGAATTTACAATTTTTTAGTGAAAGGGTTGTGATTGTCTTCGGTTTTTGATTAAGACGAAAATTATAAAGAATAAATTCTATATCAAGTTTCATTTCACAGAAATGGTAGAGATGTTATTGATTATGCTAACGTCATGCGGAGTGCTGTAGAAAGCGGACCGACCTGGATAAGTATCCATGGGTATTTCTTTAAGTATGTTGTAAATTTCAATGTTGGAAACCATCATTTCCTTGATAAAATATGTAATTTCACTTTCGTTAGCTCAGATAATACATTCCTAATTTAGATTTTTACATTTAATATTCATAATTCTTTGCAGACAATTGTTAAATATTAACATGTTTTGTGCGCAACTTGGATTCTGCTGTGTATATTTTGTGTTTATGGCCGATAACATCCAAAGCGTATGCCATCTTCTTTCATAAACTTATTCTAAAAGCCGCTTTAGCACGTTTACTACATTTTCCTCTTCTTTTTTTGTAAAATATTTTTTCAAGTTTTTCGATGTGAACACGATGATTCATCTACCCAGATCAGTATGGATGGTACTGCTTCTTATTCCCATACTGTCGATATGCTCGATTCGTCGTTTAAATAAGCTAGCTCCATTCGCCCTTTTTGCCAACTGCTTATATTTGTGTAAATTTTTCATTCAGCATTTCAAATCGTTATCAAAGCTTATTCTTCGCTTTGAAATGATCCAATAGTTTTTTACATACTATTAAAATTCGTTATTAAAAAATGTCTTTTTTTACAGCTGCCGTATTTATCTTACTGTACTTCTTCTTCACTCATTTGAAATCGTCGTCCGATTTCCCAGCTATTGGACAGATTGAGAACATTCCTCTTTATTTTGGAACAGTTCTGTTCGCTTTTGAGGGAGTTGCCGTGGTATGGTACAAAACTTTAATATATGATGTTTGCATTCTTCTAGCGCTTAATGAAAATATAGAAACTAATTTGATATACAAAATAATGGGGTTAGGTAATATAGTAAAGCTTCTGTCAGTTTCAGTTTTTCTTTTTAGGTTTGTAATTATGTTATTTCCAAACATCATAGATTTCCTTCAGTGAAACAGATCTTACGTAAAATGTTTCACTTTATGATTCCTTAGTTTTTGTGATATGAAAAGGAAGAATATATTCATAAAGCGATTGGTATTCTGACAACTTGATGTTGTGAATATTCCGCTTTCAATAGGTTTTACCGGTGGAAAATCGTATGAGTCAGCCACAACTTTTTATTAAATGGAATGGAGTTTTGAATTGTTCATGCTTGGTTGTGATGACTATATTTGCGATGATGGGTTTTTACGGTTACCTTGCTGTTGGTGATGAAGTCAGCGATACAATCACTCTGAACGTACCACACGAGCCGTAAGTTATTTCTTCATATTTCCCAAATCGTTTGAAATTATAGTGGATTAAAGTTTCCATCACTTTTCGATATTATTTGTTATGTTGCTCGAATTTTTTGAAAATCTCATTTTCGTTTTCAGGATGTACCAAATCATTAAACTCATTTTTTCGATGTGTGTAATGGTGTCATATCCCTTACAATTTTTCATCCCGATGGAACGAATCGAAAAATGGATGACTAGGAAAATCCCAGTTGAAAATCAGACGGCATATATCTACTTTGCGCGATATGGAATTGTGTTGTTGACATGTGAGCTTGTCCTTTATTCTCTTCATACTAATAGCTACTGTGTTTACAATTCATCATGAATTTCTCACGAAAAATTCTGAGCTGTGAATTGGTCGATTCCTAATTCGCATTAAAAGTAATAAGTTTCCACAGTATATTTTTGCGTGGAGTACTAACTTGTTTCTCTTTTTAGGTGCAGTTGCAGAACTCATTCCACATCTTGCCTTGTTTATCTCGCTTATTGGAGCATTCTCAGGATCTTCGATGGCTCTGCTCTTCCCACCTTTCATCGATCTCCTTGTAATTTTTTAAAACTGAGCAAAACTTGTCAGAAAATTAGACTCCGAGTTGTCCATGCTCTATGATGTTTCAGGAAGCACTTAGCCATAAGTGTAAGTTTCTGTATTAGTGATAGACAAGGTTAATTTGGAGAAGTCACACAGTCATGTTATGTTCACTAGATTTAGAACTTTGACTAGAATAAAAATCAACTTTCAGGTCTCGCATTCTCGAGGTAAATTAGTGCTCAAGGTTTGGATAATCAATTTGACCTTATTACTTTTTGCACTGATTGGTTTGGTGGCAGGAACATATACTGCATTGGTTGAAATATTCAAAAAGATTGAACAGCCAGTCTAGTGTTTTTGAACAGTTGAATCTTTTGCTAATCTGTTAAAAAACAGGAATCAAAATCGCATTTAACTGTAAGAAATTTCCAAGTACTTGGAGCTTAAGTTCTTTGTTCAAGTTGCTCTTTTCATTTTTTTTCATAACCACATTCCTGATTCTTCTGGGTACCAAACTATTAAGAACTGGTGTTAATGTTTTGTTTTGTTGTCCTTTTGTGTTTATTTTCATTTTAAAGAACAAATAAATTATTAAGTCATCAAATTCATAAAAGTTTCGAAGTGAAAGGAATTTGTGTTTAGTGTAATGGGTAATTTAATGAGATTATGCTAATCTAATGGATAATTTATTCTGCAGGTTTCACATTCATGATGGAGAATGTATTTCCTTCATAATAATTTGCTTCTAATTTGCTAATTGTTGTTCAGTATGTCCGATAAAGCTGTTTAGTGAGAGTCTGTTTCCAAACTTGCATTACATGCATTCGGAATCCATTCAAAAACTCAGGGGGATTCAAAAAAAACATTCGGATTGTCAAGATTATTAGAAGCTGTATGTTGTGGAAGGCAGTTGGCAGTAGCAGTTTTTTTCTGTGAATCGTTGATCAGTCGTTTTCTGCTTGCATTAGTTTACAGTTACTGCTATGTGTTAGACACATTCATTGCTGATTTCCTTGAGGTAAGAAAAAACACGGAAACTAAAATGAGATCGATGTTTTTCAGACAAAAAAGAGAAGGTCGATTGTTTTTTTTTTTCAGACATTTAGTATTTCGGGAGGTTGAAGTACGATCAGTTCCATAAAATGAGGTAAACAAAGATCTGGGAAAATGAAGCATAATTAGTTTTTCGTCACATTTTTTACCATTCAAGTTTTTCGATTTCAGTTCAATGCAAAGATTTCACTTCCATCACAGGCAGCCTAAATTTCGCCGAATAAGATGTGAGACGATTTTTTTTCCCCAGAAAAATCTAACTGAATACCATATACGAACGACATTAGCTGTTACTTTTGAACACATATTTGAGGAAGTATAACATCAGATTAGCCAATCTTTCCATTAGCTTGATCGTTGATCTATTCGCTCTTCTTTCGTTCCAAGCAAAAATGTGCTGCGAAATGTTATAAGTCAAAGGCTACTTTAAAATGTACGACATCGTGTTTCAGAAAATTTCGATGAATTCTGATTTTTACTGCTAAGCGAAAGATGCTTCATACCGACAACAGTTGTTCGGCAACATCTAAACTTTCAATGGATTAGATTGATGGACACGTCGTTGAAAGGATGGTGCAGTCTAGCCTCCTCCCCTTTTCAATTAACTTCTAGTTTGGAAGCTTAGTGTGCAGAATGTGATTGATAAAGGCACTTATCGGAAGAATTAGCTCATATCCAGTTTATTTCAATTACTGTTATCACTGCTTCATGCCGCTGCTACTCCCATTACTCTTCCATCCAATCTTCTTTCTCCTCTTCCCCTTCTTAAGTATATCGATATGATCTACCGTATATATTATCCAGTCTTATCTATCCTATCATTTGTAAATTAATAATAAAGTTAGTAATTGTAATTTAAGTTTAATATTGATGCATTCAAGTCAGCTTCAGAAAACAATTATCCAATTTTGAGCCAGTTTTTTGCTTTTCAATTGAACTGCATGCAAACACGAACATTTCGTGCCTGCATGAATTACTATGACATTGACAGCATTTTTAATGTAATAATGGCACCATCATCACCTCAGTTTCACCCGCTTTTGTAAAACTGCTCTGTCGATATCGTAAGAAATTCCTGATGAAATTTGTCGTGTTAAGCATTTGTAACGATTCCGACAGTTGCGCTTAAGTTAGGCTTAAGAGTTAGTCTTTCATGTTTGCTATTAAATAGTACTTTATTTAGGTCTGAGATAAACATGTGTTCCGCATAAAAAGCTGCTTAGAAAATTATCCACCTACTGGTTTTTTTTTCGATATTGCTTTTTAACATATCTTTGTTTTTGATTTCTTATTTCCAAAAGGCCATAAATCTGATCATCGCCCTTTATTTTTCATTACTATTGGAAACCATATAATTCTTAAGTTTTTCTACAAATTTGATAGGATTATTGTGAAAAATTTATAGAGTTGAAGCAAAATTTAGTGGAATGATTGTATTGGCGGACATATTGATTTGTGCGTCACTTTAACCACTGAAATTGCTATTTGATTAAATCAAACCGTTGCACGGGAAATCACGTCATAGTTATGATCAGCGAGCTGATACAACTAATAAATTCATCACTTTTATCGCCCCCCTTTCCTCATTTTTTGTGGCAAATAATTTTCACCAAAAAACTGACAAATGCTTCATATCGTAGATCCAACGTAGATCTAATGCTGTAAGTCAAGATTGTGGGTTTTATAACACAGTCGAATAGTTTATGGCACTACGGAATGAATTCCATAAAGGCTACTCATGATACCATAAACTGCCCCATGCCGAGAACTGCCTTTGCTTTCAGAACCATTTTTCTGCGTATTTTTCAGCAGCGTATGTAGGAGGTTTAGATGGAGCCTTCAGGCTTGTTAGTATGGGAGGAACGGGGGAACCAGGACTAAGAAAGTTAAGTGCGAGTAAAAATCTGTGACGTGTGACATTTCCGAAACTCATCTAACGATTTCCTAAGCGAACAAATGAATTTACAGCGACAACTTGATAAAGTTGTAATTAAATGTTTTCTTAATATCCTTTTATTCTCATCTCCTGTTCACGCAAATCCAACTCCGTACCTTATACATGATGAGCATTTCCTCAGTAATAAAGGTCATCATTTTGATATACTCTAAAGGGCAAATAAAAGTGACAGCGCTGAAATCTTTACTTGAGAAAGTCCCCTCATAAGTCTTTAGATCCAAAGGCTAAGACTTTCTCCTGATTTGCGAAGGTCAAGGAATAAAAATAATTAAAATATCTTAGGATGAAATCACTAAATTTGAGCTCACATCCATCCACATCTTCCTTCTTCTTTACTTGTCCACTTCTTAACAAAAGGAAAAAAGAATATGAACTGATCCCATCTCCCATATTTATATCACATCCGTTCCTCCCTCTTATGTAGTGAATATTGAAAAGTCAAGTTTTATCGGAAAATGTCTCAGAAAGATTTAATTTGTGTCAGTTAACACTTTTCCACTGTCTTATAATTCCGAATTTGTCGTCTGGAATTACTGCAGGCAGTCGAGAAACTTTCATCGACAAAATGTATCATCAACTGATTTTGCTGGCATTAATTGGCACCATTATGGCAAATGTTATACCTTTCTCTTTGAGTAATATTTCGGAAGAGTATAAAGGTGTGTGAAGTACTGAGTATAGGTGGAAGAGTATAAAGTATATAAATGTAGGAGTATAAAGGTCTGTTAATAAGGAGATCCGTTAATTATCTTCATATACTTTATACTCTTCTGTTTACCAAATCAATTAATTTGTGATAATTTTAGAAGGACCAGTAAATTTCGTAAATTCCATTTTTCATAAATTTCGCAAAGATCCGCAAACTTAATTTGGAGTAATTAAGATAAAGCGAATAAGCACCCATAAATTTAATCTTCCCTTCATAACTTGCGACCTTTAATCGGTATGTATCGTTTTCATAATCTTAAAATTTGCCTTGTAATGAACTGTTTTGAAGTAATCATATTGGGAAGAAAACTTTGTTAAATTATGATAATTTTATTGCATGAACTCACTAAATAAAGCTCGCAATATTTGAAGAATTTATACCGGAAGAAGTGAGAAATTTCTACAAAGGTCTGACGGCTGAAGATAAGGAGATTCTACGTGACTTAGCAAGCAAGCATGCAACGTTTGCAAATGAAGATGCCGCACTGGAAGCGCTCAAAGACAAATCCGACAAACTCTATAAAAATGCGGTGGAACTACGAAATTTTGTGAAAGCAAAAATTGACAGCTTAAAACCAGACGCTAAAGCATTTGTCGATGAGGTTACTCATAAATTTTTTCATCAGAGATGTCCAAATCTTCTCTGCTTATATTATCCAATTCATTTTTTGTTCACTTCATTTCATTCATTTTATCAATTAGTGAAACGAAATTTATACAATAAATTTGATTCACTCCACTTTTTATTCCCCTATTATGCTACGCTTTGTTCAGTTTGTTCCATTAATTTCATTTAATATTTGTCCCCACCATTTCTTTAATTATATTTTAAAATTCGAATCATCGTTTAACACAGAATCAATCAAATCTTTTATCAATCAGCTCATGAATGAGACATCAAAACGATCAAAATTTAAGGTAATCGCCAGGGCACGATCACTGCGATCAGACGATGGGCAAAAGTTTGACACGGATAAAATTAAGCAGGCAGCTCGAGATATTATTGCTAAATACCAAGCGCTTAATGAAGAAACTAAGGAAGAACTGAAAGTAACATTCCCTCCGATCGCCAAAATCATCAGCAGTGAGCTTTTTTATTAGATTTATAATTTACGATAACGTCTCCGACGCTGAGTAATGCCAGTGTGGGGCATTCTGTGATTTATGCTTTGTGTCAAACGAAAACTGAAACTCTCTCATGGGAACATTCCTAACTTTTGGGATTATATATATGCTTCCACAGCAAAATCCCTAAATTTACACTTTAAATTCTTGTATAACACCTTGTTGAGAATATTTCAGACGAAAAACTCAAAAGGGTCGCAAGTACATTTCTACAAAAGAACTAGAGAAGTTTGGTCGCCGGTAAACACCAATAATGTATCCGCTACCTTCTGTTGTATTTTACACCTATTTGAAAAAACAATTTTAAGATAAAAACAGAGGTATTGTTAGAAATTAATTAAATTGTTGGATTCATTTATGAAACTTTCAAACTTTTATTCTGACCAATATTTTCCACATAAACTATTTGTCGACACAATACTTTAACTCTCAAATGTCATTACGTGACCAAAAAAAAGAGCAAGCTGTAAAAGTAAATGGTAAAGGGATTATCAGAATTAAAAAGAAAGCACATGACAAAAATAATATAATTGGTCCAGAACCTAGTCTTTCTTATTAACCGACAATTTGAAAAGTAAATCTATGAAACACAAAACAAGATCTACATATATTCCAATACATTTTTCATCTATGTTCAGTGTGTGAATGATATTACAACACTTGAAGAATTCCTGAGCCATTTCAGCAATTTCTTTCTTCTCGATCTCGGTAAGCCATTTTTTTCGAATCGCGACCTTCTAAAATAATACAATCAGAAAGCTACAAAGATTTGCAAAGAATCCAAAAACTGCATTATGAAAAAATGAAACGAACTTTTGCGAAGCTTGTTGACAACAACTACATCCGATTTCAGCGGTGTTATGAAAGCCGAAGGGTAGCTGCCATCATCTGT